CTGGACACAGCTCCCCGGTGGACACGGCGTGGGGCCCCGCCAGCGAGGGTCAGGCGTCCCCCCACCCCGAGGCCCAGCCGGGGTGCCTCTGGCCCTGTCCCCGCGCGGCCCAACCGCCGTCCGTCTGGCCCCAGGTTCCCGCATCACGCGAGCGGCGCCCTCACCCTCAAAAGGAGCTTGATCCTCGGCGGCCGGCACGGCATGCGGCGGAAGCTGGTCCGGCAGCTGGGCGAGCACCGGCGAGTGTACCAGTGCAGCGTGTGCAGCAAGGTCTTCCAGAACAGCAGCAACCTCAGCCGGCACGTGCGCTCGCACGGTGGGTGCGGGCGCCCGGCCGGCCCTGGCTGCCCCGCCCCAACGGGGTGCCCCGCCTGCCCCGCCCCAACGGGGTGCCCCGCCCCATCGGGCTGCCCCGCCCCGCCCGGCTGACGGCCTCCTGGGGCCCGCAGGGGACAAGCTGTTCAAGTGCGAGGAGTGCGCGAAGCTGTTCAGCCGCAAGGAGAGCCTGAAGCAGCACGTGTCCTACAAGCACAGCAGGAACGAGGTGGGCGGCGGCGGCGGCGATGCCCGGGCCTGGCCGAGCGGGCCGGGAGTCCTGAGGGGCGGCCCGGGCCGGAGACGCGCGGCTGGCCTGGGGCCCTCACGCGCTGCCCTCGGCAGGTGGACGGCGAGTACAGGTACCGCTGCGGCACCTGCGAGAAGACCTTCCGCATCGAGAGCGCGCTGGAGTTCCACAACTGCAGGACAGGTGGGCGGCCGCCCCGGCCGGCCGGGCGTGGGCGCTCGGGTGCGGTTCAGCCCTCCTGCACAGAGGCTCGGCGACTGGCCGTCCGGGAAAGCACCCCGGCCCCCCCAACTCGCGCCTGCTGCCTTCGCCTCTCGCAGTGGCCACCGGTGCCCCAGCCGGCGTGGCGAGGGGGCCTTGGGCCTGGGCCGGCGCAGCCCGGTCTCCAGTGGGCGCGGCCAGTCGGCCTGGGTGGGAGGTGACGGGTGGGGGGCCTGACGGCCCCGGGGCGTGGGTTCCACAGTAGGTGAGGCGCGTGACTGATGGCGGGAGTGACGGACAGGATAAAGTAGGCGTCAGCTGAGGGGAGAGGGGTGGTAGGCGCTCGGGCGGCCGCGCAGGCCGTAAGTAGGCGGGACAGCGGGCGCTGGGGACGCTTCAGTAGCGATCTGGGGCGCACCTAGGGCTGTTACCAGTGGTCCCCGCGGGCAGCGGCGGCTGCGGACTCCTGCCCTCCCCAGGCCCCGTCGCCCTGTGCCAGGCCCCACCTCTGGGTCCAATGCACCGTTCCCTGGCGCTCCCTGTGTCCTGGAATTGGCACTCACCTGACCAGGCAGTCAGCTGGCCTTGGGTAGACCCTGTCCCAGCGGCCCCCGAGAGGTCAGCCCGCTGCCCTGTGACCCCGTCCCCAGCGGCCCCCGAGAGATCAGCCCCTGTGCCCACGTTGGCCAGCTTCACGCAGGTGCAAGTCCACGGCCATCGCCCCGTGCCTGGTCCTGTGTCCGGCTCTGAGGCCCTGGCCCCGTCCTCGGGCCTGGCTCCCCTGAGCTGAGTGACTGATGAGCTTTCCAGTGTGGCTGTGACCGTGTGGGAGTGGCCTTGGAAGCTTCCAGAATGCTGCCACCTGCATTCCGAGCCTGGCCTGTGTCCTCCCAGAACTGGGGGCTCCACCCAGGTTTTCCTGACGGGGTGTCAGCCAAGCCCAGCCCGATGAGCTCATTGGTCGGGCTGTCGCCTGCCTGGCCCGGCCGGGACCCCAAGCAGTCGAGAGTGGGTGCTCTACCGGGGGCCCAGCCGTCCGTGCTCACAAACGCACAGGAGCAGACTGCTACTGTGAGCAATTAAAAATATACATATTTATGCATATAAGAGCTGGGGTGCAGGGGTGAGAGGACGCCCCAGAGACAGAGCGGGGAGCAGGGCAGGCGAGGGGGCAGTGGGAGACAGGGGGCCTGCTGCGCCCTGGGGTCCCTCCTGGCGGGGATCGAACTTGCACCGAAGCGGCTGTGGACGGCTCCCCAGCGCCGGCGACCGCGCCCCACCGCGGAGGCCGGTGCAGGCAGAGAGATCCCCGAGTCCGGTCTCAGTCAGATCACCCACCCCACGCGGACGGCTGCCCGTCCAGACAGGCCGTCCCAAGCTGAGCCATGGGGGCCTGAGCGCGCCCCGAGTCCGAGGCACCTCCCGGCAAGGCGCCCCAGCAGGGGGCTAGGCAGCGCCCCGAGAGCGGGACAGAGGAGAGACCCCAAGTCCAAGCACGCCGCGTCACCCTCCTCGAGCTCAGGCGACGCCGCTGCTGTCTCCGGAAAGACCCAGAGCCGCAGTCCCCGTGTCCCCCCGCCGTGTCCCCCCTCCCCGTCTCTCTTCCCACCATGCCTCCCCACCCCCTTGCCTATTTCCCCTTCTTTCCGCCTCCCTCCCTGTACCCCTCATTCCCTGCAGCCGTCCCTATCGGGAAGCCCGGACGTGGTGCCCCAGGACTCTTGGGTGGCGCATGGAGAGTGGGGCCTGCCCTTCCACAGGGTGTGCCCAGCCCCTGGCTCTGCCCTGTCGGGGTGCCAGGGTGCGGTGAGGCCTCCCCAGGGTGGAGGTGGGGCAGAGCCAGGGGGCGCGGGGAGGGAGAAGCCCCTGCGTGGCCCCGGCGGGAGCGGGGGCCTCCCTGGCGCTGGTGCTGCCTTAGCGAGGGGCTCCCCTGTGCCCGGGGCTGACCGCGGGGTGCCTTCGCCTCCTTGGGGGCAGCTCTGTGGGGCGGGCACGGGCGCCTGGCGGAGACTCCACGCGGAGGGGCGTGAGCCTGGTGTCAGCAAGCGCAGGGCGCGGCAGGGAGCTGCTTGCTGGAGCGCAAGCGCGTGGGGTTTCTGGGGGTGCGGGGGGCGCGTGGGGGGGCTTGGGCCATG